CCAGGAGATCTACAAGGAAAAGGAGGTCAAAGTTCTATCAGTGCACTGAATAGAGAGGGTTTCTTCTTGTTACCTGCTGTACTCATCTCACATCTTACATGTACAGGTGTCACTCTGAGGCTGTGAGATCTGCCCTTTAGGTCAGGATTCAGTTAACTGGGAACTTGACAGAATCACACACAGGAGTGGTAGTGACCTGTGGTCAGAGTTTGGTGGCCTTGATGTCACTGCCTCTGGTCCCTAGGAGCATCTGGTCTGTTGAAAGGCTGTTGTGGTGTGAGCTGGGCACCCCTGCTTACTGAGGGGGGCTCCCTTTGCTCTCGCCTTGTAACTCTGCTATCACACATGGCTAGAAATAAGTGACAGGCAAAAGCAGAAATGATTTATTGCTGTAATTACAGTTGTTCTTCCATATGGATGCATGGATAAGAAGCTGCTTGGGGAGCTCCCTGTTTCTGGGGTGTCTGCTCCTGAGTCTGCTGCCAAGATTTTGGGAGTATTTCCCTGCACCGCCAGCGTGGCTGTGTGGTTTTTCTTCCCTCTTCCATGCAGCCTTTTGGGAATAATCCCTGCTGGCTCAAGTGCAGGGCTCCCTCCATGGTGTCAATGGGCAGAAAGATCCTTTTCCAGACCAGAGGCTCCTAAAAGAGAAGCCCGAACACGTGGGGCTGTGCCTCTGGTTTAGATGGGCAGCGTAAAAACAAAGGCTGGTGGAGGGATATACACCAGGTCTTACAGCAGGACCTTGGGCCAGGCTGCTGTTGGTCACAGGAGGGTGGCTTTTGTCAGGTGAGGGAGTTTGTCTCCTCTACAGTCAGGTGCTCTCTAGTGTTTGATGTGAGTGATCTGTCGGTGCTCTGTTGCGTTATGGGCTGCCCCTGCTGTCAAGGGAGGGCACTGCCTCTCCTCCAGCCCACTGCTTGTGCCGCGTTTCATCCCCACCTCTGCAGTGCTGCGAGCCTCTGCTGAGCCTCCCCTGCGGTGTGAAAACAAGCAGGGAAGCTCTCCGGGCTGGGAACACCAGGCTCACCTTCCTTACTTCTGTCCTTTATCCACCACCCACATGAAAAAGCAGCAAAGAGATGTTACATCCTTAATGTTTATGCCTGAAGCAGGACTTGAGAGCGAGAAACCTGGAGTTCCCTCTGTCCTGCCCAGGCAGCCTCCTTTCCTCACCCCCCTGCTTCAAGCTTGCAGGAAGCTGTTGAGTTTGGTTACTCATTTGTGGAGGTCAGGACTAGGTCTGGGGTTGTTTTTCCCTTTGTGTTTAGGAAACTGTTTACA